TGTAGATCCTCCTTACATTGGTCATCAGTGTAAATCCCCCCTTTCATTGGTCATCAGTGTATATCCCCCTTACATTGGTCATCAGTGTAAATCCCCCTTTCATTGGTCATCAGTGTAAATCCCCCCTTTCATTGATCATCAGTGTAAATCCCCCTTACATTGGTCATCAGTGTAAATCCCCCCTTTCATTGGTCATCAGTGTAAATCCCCCCTTTCATTGATCATCAGTGTAAATCCCCCTTACATTGGTCATCAGTGTAAATCCCCCCTTACATTGGTCATCAGTGTAAATCCCCCCTTTCATTGGTCATCAGTGTAAATCCCCTTTTCATTGGTCATCAGTGTAAATCCCCCTTTCATTGGTCATCAGTGTAAATCCCCCCTTTCATTGGTCATCAGTGTAAATCCCCCTTTCATTGGTCATCAGTGTAAATCCCCCTTTCATTGGTCATCAGTGTAAATCCCCCTTACATTGGTCATCAGTGTAAATCCCCCCTTTCATTGGTCATCAGTGTAAATCCCCCCTTTCATTGATCATCAGTGTAAATCCCCCTTACATTGGTCATAAGTGTAAATCCCCCCTTTCATTGGCCATCAGTGTAAATCCCCCCTTTCATTGATCATCAGTGTAAATCCCCCTTACATTGGTCATCAGTGTAAATCCCCCCATTCATTGGCCATCAGTGTAAATCCCTCCTTTAATTGGTCATCAGTGTAAATCCCCCCTTTCATTGGTCATCAGTGTAAATCCCCCTTACATTGGTCATCAGTGTAAATCCCCCCTTTCATTGGTCATCAGTGTAGATCTCCCCTTTCATTGGTCATCAGTGTAGATCCCCCCTTTCATTGGTCATCAGTGTAGATCCCCCCTTTCATTGGTCATCAGTGTAGATCCCCCCTTTCATTGGTGATTGGTGTAGAAATGTCACCTCCCATCTCCATCTAGCATTGCCACTGATCCCATGTACCCCAAGCACTGCCACTGATCCCTCCCCCCACCCCCACTGTCACTCATACCTTCTCCCCAGCACTGCCACTTATCCCATCCCCCCCCCCTACCAACCCTACCTGTGTCCCCCTCTCTCTGTATTACACCCCTCCTGTGTCCCCTGTCTCTCTGTGTACCCCCATGTCCCTTCTCTCTGTGTCCCCCCATATCCCTTGTCTCTCTGTGTCCCCGCTCTCCTCCCTCTCTGTGCCCCAACTCCCCATGTCCCGTCTCTTTGTGTCCCCCCATGTCCCCTGTCTCTCCATGTACCCCCTCTTTAGGTCCCCTCTGTGTCCCCCCCCCCGTGTCCCTTCTCTCTGTCTGTGTGTCCTATCTGTGTCCCCGTCTCTCTGTGTCCCCCAACCCCCGTGTCCCCCCTCTCTCTCTGTGTTCCCTATCTCTCTGTGTGTCCCCCCGTGTCCCCTGTCTCTCTCTATGTCTCCCGTGTCCCGTCTATCTATATGTCCCCCATCTCTCTGTGTCCACCAACCCCCGTGTCCCCCATCTCTGTGTCCAACAACCCCCGTGCCCCCCCGTGTCCCCTCTCTCTGTGTCCCCCATCTCTCTGTGTCCAACAACCCCTGTGTCCCCTCTCTCTGTGTCCCCCATCTCTCTGTGTCCAACAACCCCCATGTCCCCTCTCTCTGTGTCCAACAACCCCCGTGTCCCCTCTCTCTGTGTCCAACAACCCCCATGTCCCCTCTCTCTGTGTGTCCCCCCCCCATGTCCCCTCTCTCTGTGTCAAACAACCCCCGTGTCCCCTCTCTCTGTGTCCAACAACCCCATGTCCCCTCTCTCTGTGTCCCCCCGTGTCCCCTCTCTCTCTATGTCCCCCCTCTGTGTCCCCCGTGTTCCCTCTCTCTGTGTGTCCCCCACGTGTCCCATCTCTATGTCCCCCGTGTCCCCCCTCTCTCTGCGTCCCCTGTCTATCTCTATGTCCCCTCTCTCTGTGTCCCCCCCGTGTCCCCTCTCTCAGTGTCCCGTCTATCTCTATATCCCCTCTCTCTGTGTTTCCCCCCCCCCCCCCCCCGTGTCCCCTCTCTCTGTGTCCCGTCTATCTCTTTGTCCCCCGTGTCCCCTCTCTCTGTCCCCCCCCCCCCCCCCCGAGTCCCCTCACTCTGTGTGTCCCCTGTCTATCTCTATGTCCCCCCGTGTCTCCTCTCTGTATCCACTGTCTATTTCTTTGTCCCCCGTGTCCCCTCTCTCTGTGTGCCCCCCTCATGTTCCGTCTATCTCTATGTCCCCCGTGTCCCCTCTCTGTGTGTCCCCCCCATGTCCCCTCTCTCTGTGTCCCCTGTCTATCTCTATGTACCCCTCTCTCTGTGTGTCCCCCCCCCGTGTCCCCCCTCTCTCTGTGTCCCATCTATTTCTATGTCCCCCGTGTCCCCTCTCTCTGTGTGTCCCCCCCCCCGTGTCCCCTATCTCTATTTCCCCGTGTCCCCTCTCTCTGTGTCCCCCCCGTGGCCCCTCTCTCTGTGCCCCGTTTATCTCTATGTCCCCCCGTGTCCCCTCTCTTTGTGTCCCCCCCGTGTCCCCTCTCTATGTGTCCCCTCTATTTCTATGTCCCCCCTGTCCCCTCTCTCTGTGTGCCCCCCCGTGTCCCCTCTCTCTGTGCCCCGTCTATCTCTATGTCCCCCGTGTCCCCCCTCTCTGTGTCCCGTCTATCTCTATGTCCCCCGTGTCCCCTCTCTCTCTGTCCCGTCTATCTCTATGTCCCCCGTGTCCCCTCTCTCTGTGTTTCCCCCCCGTGTCCCCTCTCTCTGTGTCCCCTATCTCTTTGTCCCCCGTGTCCCCCTCTCTCTGTGTCCCCTCTCTCTCTCTATGTCCCCCGTATCCCCTGTCTCTCTCTGTGTCCCCCCCGTCCCGTCTATCTCTATGTCCCCCTCTCTCTGTGTCCCCCCCCCCGTATCCCTCTCTCTCTGTGTCCCCATCCCGTCTCTATGTCCCCCCTCTCTCTGTGTCCCCCCCGTGTCCCCTCTCTCTGTGTCCCCTGTCTCTCTCTGTGCCCCCCCGTGTCCCCTGTCTATCTCTATGTCCCCCGTATCCCGTCTCTCTCTGTGTGTCCCCCCCGTGTCCCCTGTCTATCTCTATGTCCCCCGTATCCCGTCTCTCTCTGTGTGTCCCCCCCCCGTGTCCCCTGTCTATCTCTATGTCCCCCGTCTCTCTGTTCCCCCCCCCCCGTATCCCCTGTCTCTCTCTATGTCCCCCGTCTCTCTCTATGTCCCCCGTATCACCTGTCTTTCTCAGTGTCCCCCGTATCCCGTCTCTCTCTATGTCCCCCGTGTCCCCTGTCTATCTCTATGTGTCCCCTGTCTCTCTCTATGTCCCCTGTCTATCTCTGTGTCCCCCGTCTCTCTCTATGTCCCCGTATCCCGTCTCTCTCTATGTCCCCCGTGTCCCCTGTCTATCTCTGTGTCCCCCGTCTCTCTCTATGTCCCCGTATCCCGTCTCTCTCTATATCCCCCGTGTCCCCTGTCTATCTCTATGTGTCCCCTGTCTCTCTCTATGTCCCCCGTGTCCCCTGTCTATCTCTATGTCCCCCCGTATCCCGTCTCTCTCTGTGTGTCCCCCCCCCCCCCGTGTCCCCTGTCTATCTCTATGTCCCCCGTCTCTCTGTTCCCCCCCCCCCGTATCCCGTCTCTCTCTATGTCCCCCGTATCACCTGTCTTTCTCAGTGTCCCCCGTATCCCCTGTCTCTCTCTATGTCCCCCGTCTATCTCTATGTGTCCCCTGTCTCTCTCTATGTCCCCGTATCCCGTCTCTCTCTATGTCCCCGGTCTATCTCTGTGTCCCCCGTCTCTCTCTATGTCCCCGTATCCCGTCTCTCTCTATGTCCCCCGTGTCCCCTGTCTATCTCTGTGTCCCCCGTCTCTTTCTATGTCCCCCGTGTCCCCTGTCTATCTCTATGTGTCCCGTCTCTCTCTATGTCCCCCGTGTCCTCTCTCTCAGTGTCCCCCGTATCCCCTGCCTTTCTTTATGTCCCGTCTCTCTCTATGTCCCCCGTCTTTCTCTATGTCCCCCGTATCCCCTGTATCTCTCTCTGTGTCCCCCGTGTCCCCTGTATCTCTGTGTCCCCCGTATCTCTCTGTGTCCCCCGTCTCTCTCTATGTCCCCCGTATCCCCTGTCTCTCTCTGTGTCCCCTGTATCTCTCTGTGTCCCCCCGTGTCCCCTGTCTCTCTCTATGTCCCCCGTATCCCCTGTCTCTCTCTGTGTCCCCCGTCTCTCTCTGTGTCCCCCGTATCCCCTGTATCTCTCTGTGTCCCCCGTGTCCCCTGTATCTCTCTGTGTCCCCCGTCTCTCTCTATGTCCCCCGTATCCCCTGTCTCTCTCTGTGTCCCCTGTATCTCTCTGTGTCCCCCGTGTCCCCTGTATCTCTCTGTGTCCCCCGTGTCCCCTGTATCTCTCTGTGTCCCCCGTATCCCCTGTCTCTCTCTGTGTCCCCCGTGTCCCCTGTATCTCTCTGTGTCCCCCGTCTCTCTCAATGCCCCCCCCTCCTCCTCATACCACCAATATTATGAAACACAGGACTGTGCCTGTTTCACAACAAGGGGCGGGGATCCGGCCTCAGCCAATAGGAGCACTCCGTGGCGCATCACGTGGCCGCTGAGTTTATGTAATGGCAGTGCCGGTGTTATATGATCCGTCCGCTCCGCTCTTTGTGTTTCTATGAGTAGAAGGCGGATCGGGAGCGGCGGGGTCCTCAGTGCCGGATCGGGGTTCCTCTTCCCTGACCCCCCCCCATTCCCCTGTCAGCTCTAATGCCGGCCGGTGCTCCCGGCTCCCCCGTTGATCTGGGATGGCATCAGCTGTTCTCCGCGCCGGGTGCCCAGACGGAGGAAGCCCCGGCACTCTGCGCTGACAGCAGCAGGCAGTACTGGTGGTAGCCGGGAAGTGCTGCCCTCCATTCCTCTACAGTCATTGCTGCTTGGGGTTTTTTTTTTTTTTTTTTTTTTTCTTTCAAAGGATCGTTAAAGGGACTTGGTCGTGTGCCCCCCCCCGGGAGAGCCTAGGACTGGGAGCATGGAGCTGTTGGGGTGTCCATCCTGCCTGCACCCCCTGTGGCCCCCTGTGACTGCCCCCTGTGGGCACACGTTCTGTAAGAGGTGTCTGCAGGGAGCGGCCAGGTGCCAGGTGTGCAGGAGCCAGCTGAGGATCCCGGAGGACCAGGAGCTGCCATGTAACACCCTCCTCTCCCACCTGATGGACAAGTGCCTGGACCCCCCCCCCACCAAACTCACCCGGATCACCAGGGACCTCCACCATCTCCTCGCCCAGCACCAGTATGAAGAGGCTGGGAAGGTGGCCAGCAAGGCGGTTCTCCTGGGTAAGGGGGCAACAACAACCAAAAACCCATCCGTATCTCACACCTGAGCGACCCTGTGGAAGCCGTGCAGTAGTAGTCGCCGCTGCTACAGTGACCACAGCAGTCTTGAGGGTCCAGTGCCAAGCGGCTACCTCTCTTCATAGTAACCACGGAGGGTCGCTCTGTCTGCTGCCGCAGTTCACAGATCGCCTTGTAATGTATTTCACTGAATACAAGGCATTCTCTGATTGGACGGGAAGAGGTAACATTATGATCTCCATCTCATCCAATCAGAGAATGCCTTGTCTTCATTGAAAGAAATACAAGTGAGCAACCCCCTATGGTTATTCTGCTGAAGGGCAACTTCTTGGCATCGGATCCAGAAGGCTGCTGCAATCGCTGTAGGATCTGTCACCTATGAGCTATGCATGCTTACATTGGTCCAAGAAGGAGAAATGTAACTTTGCAATAAACTCATGCCTAGGCATCCACTTTAAAATGTATCTAATCCCAACACCTTTTTTTTTTTTTTTTTAAGTTTTGGACTGAGAAGAGTTAGAACCCCTGTCAGGTTTTTAACACCTTCCCACCTGGGTTGTAGCAGATTGAAGGCTGGGTGGGATGCTCCTCCTTCTGAGTAGACATCATATGACGTCCTGTGAGAAGGTGACACTCACGCATGTCACAGATTACTATACCGGCCCAGTGTTACTGAGCAATCACAGCAGATCACATGACAATTTTATAACGTAGATGGCTTCCTTTCATGCCATCCATTGTATACAATAGTGTTGTTAGCTGTGATTGGTCACATGGTACAGATAGGGCCAATCACAGCCCATCTGTACCATGTGATGAGCTTTGGCTAATCACAACAAAAGACTGAATGAATCAGTTTCAGTAAAAAAAATGGTTACTAATATCAATGAAATACGTTTGTATAAGCAATCATAACATGTAAAAAAAAAAAAACAAAAAAACTTGACCACTTGCCCAGAGTGGTACAATGTTACTATGGAAACCTTTTATTGCCCTGGTCACAGTGTGTTGCAAAAAAAAATTGGAAAAAAAAATGTAATAAAAAGAAAACAATTTATAGTTTGTTTTTTTTAACACACTGTCACCGGTCAGTGCCCCTGATCACAGGCACAGCAGTTATATATTAACGCTGTACTGGACTGGTGACAGTATGTCAAAACAAATTGTGAATTTTTTTGAATATCACTAAATCCACAACCGTAAAATCAGTGTGTATATGCATAAGACCCCGGTCACATGGGGTGCGACTTGGCACGCAATTTGCAAATCATATGCCAAGACGCACCCTATTGTCCGCAATTAGAGCGGTCAAATCGATGCAATTCCAACTTGGCCGGAGCCGCACCGATTTATAAAGTGGCACATGTACTACTTTTGGAGTGATTTGCATATGAAATCGGCATCTCACCCGACTTTGAAATTGACTTCACTGACCAAAGTCGGGCTTGATGTGACCGGGGGGTAAAGCATGCTTGTTATACTCCCTGTGAAACTTGAGGGGTTAATCCTTTGTATTGTGTAAAAAGGATGTTGGATCCTGCTTTCTCTGATCCTCCCCTTCCACATTTTCCATTTCATTTCCTGATTCGGGGACACTGTACATGCTCAGTTTGGTGTGTATTGCTAGAGAGTTTTTCTTTTTCTTGGGTGCAAGTGATCAGCTCAGGGCCAATCAGCACTGTCCAGACAGAGGGTCAGGGGTTATGCAATCTCATGGGGCAGTGAGAGGAGAATGAAAACTCCACCTATAAGCTTTAACCAGTGCTCAGCTGGACACTGATAGAAGTCACAAGACTGCTCTAAACGGCTGATGAGAAAAGGCATGTATTAGTTTATATGATCTTTCACAGTACGCAGCAGGGGCGGACTGACCATTTGGAAACTCGGGCACTGCCCGAGGTCAGTAGGGGCCCCATGAGATGCCCCTGGTACCTTTTTCATAGGCTTTTTTGAGTTTGGGCAAGGACACAGGGGCCCCATGATCACCTATTGCCCGGGGGCCCCATGAGTTGTCAGTCCACCCCTGGTACACAGAACACGGAAGTGCAATTATTTTAGTCAACATAAACTAATAAATACCTTTTTTCTCATCAGCAGTTAGAGCAGTCTTCTGACTTCAGCAGAGCACTGGTTACAGCTTGTAGGAGTTTTCATTCTGCTGTAATAGGATGCAGAACCCCTGACCTCTGTCTGGACAGTACTGATTGGTCCTTTGCTGATCACATGCACTCTCCCAAGAAGAAAAAAAAACCTCTGTAGCAATGTGGGTTTAGTAACACTTTAATTCCCTCTCCTATCAACATGTTCCTTGTAAGCACACTTTTTCATTTTCCAAAAAATTACAACTGCAAGAAACTCGCCATGCCTCTTACGAAATACCTTGGACTGTCTATTTTTTTTTTTAAAAAAGGGTCACTTGGTGGGTATTTGTACTATCCTGGTATTTTTGGGCCTCAAGAAATGAGATCAGTACATCAGGATTGATCGATTGTCGTATATATATATTTTATCTATCTCTCAAGGTTTGTGATACAGAGTAAATAATATACACTAATTTGGGTTATTTTCACCAGAGAAATGTGGTAGAATACATATTGACCTAAATTTATGAAGAAAGGATATTTAATTGCAAATTTTGTAACAGAAACAAAAAAGAAAAAAACTTGGTGGTGATTAAATACCACCAAAAGAAAGCTCTGTTTGTGTGAAAAAAATTAAAATGTTTTTTATGGGTGCAATGTTGCATGACCGCGCTATTGTCATTCAAAGTGCGACCACGCTGAAAGCTGAAAACTAGCCTGGGCAGGAAGGGGGTAAAAGTGCCCGGTATTGAAATGGTTAATTGCTGTCTCTTCCCACTGGGAAGATTCTCCTCTCTACATGCCTGGGTGACCATTGTCACCTAGACCCTGGGCTCATTCACACCAGCCCACATGCTAGATTCCATCCTCTAAAATGACATTGAACCCTTTGTTTTTAAATACTCCCAGCAGTGGATTTAATCACTTTGTGAGTTTTTAGCTTCTTTATCCTTTAACCCTTGCCTAGTTTCCAGTTTAAGCCAGAGCCATGACTGCAAACCGGATTTCTTGTTTCAGGATGGCTCCTTTCTCTTGCATCTTCCAATGAAGCCACCACTGCATGCAGGAACTAGACTTGTCTCTCTGTGCTGTGTGCATCAATAGAAACACACAGCCCCACAGCCTAGGATAGCAAGCTCCTCCTTCCCTCTCCCCCCTCCAAGCTAACAGGCTGACTAGGGACTAAACTGTCCACTGTTAACTCCTGTGAAGATTGGAAGGAAGTAGTACTCGGAGCAGGAGTCGGCACCATTGCCAGTTGTAAACTGCATGTGTTGGGGTAAAAATGTCAACAGTTTACAGAGGAATGTTTATTTTATTGTGCTGTTAAAGGGTAAGTTTGCCTTTTGGGAAAAAATAATAAATACTTTTGCAGCATTTATTATGTTTTCCTGCAGGAGCCTGCAAAGCATCGCACCCCTGATCAGGTGAAATGTCAGGCTCCTGCAGACAAGCTCTGTACAGGCTGTCAGTTTGGAAAGTGCAGTGCTTGTGAATGAACTACGGGCGTGCTCACCAGTGCCCTCCGCAGTTCGCTGAGAATTACAAGCCGTCTGTCACTGTGAATGAATGACATGGCAGTGTGGGCAGGGAGAGGAACCCTCGAATGCTATCACAGGGAGGAATCGGGGAAGACTGCTGTAGCATGTTATAAATACACCCTAATATGGGTGTAATCTGTAACAAGTTCCAAAAGGTGAAAAAAGCCTTTAAGCTACAAAATTCTGGTTCAACGTGAACTGTAAGGCGAAGTTCACACTGGCATTGAAAGCAGGCCTATGCAAATGACACTATGGGCAGCACACAGTGCTGTTCACATGATCAAAACAGGAAGTGTTTTTTGTTGCATCGCTTTGCTTCAAAATTGAAGCCTCATGTCGAGTCTGGAGGAAGGTCAAGCCTTTCAATGCGTCCCATTCAAGTCTATGATAACGCTGCATGAACGCGCTGGTCAGCGGTTGCGGCACAGTTGTTGTGTGGTTGCGGCACATTAAAAACCTTACAGTTTATTATTATAGGTATTGTGAGGTACCTTTTTTATACGCCAGAACTGCACATAGGTCAAATGAACCTATTAATGCGTTTGTTAAGAGTTAGCGTTTTGAGTCAAGTATGAACAAACCCTACAACACTGCCCCTAGCTACATCACCAACCTCATCCGCAGATATCCAAATCGCCCGCTCCGATCCTCCCTTGCTCTCTAGCTGCCTTGTCACCTCCTCCCACGCTCGCCTCCAGGACATCTCCAGAGCCTCTCCCATCTTCTGGAACTCGCTACCACAGTATGTCCGGTCAGCCCCCACCCTGTTTGCCTTTAGGCAATCTTTGAAAACTCACTTATTCAGGGAATCCTACCCCACCTACACCTAAGAACTGCACTTGAATCACCTCCACCAGATCATTGCCAACAGCTATCACCTTTTGTACCACCTCCACCTTCCTTTATATTGTAAGCTCCACGAGCCGGGCCCTCCTACTCCTTCTGTACTGAAATGTATTGTAATTTTACTGGTTCCCTTTATATTGTAAAACACTGTGCAAACTGTTGGCGCTTTATAAATTCTATATAATAAGACGACCTGAAATGGAATTGCTGTTTATGGGGTTCCTCTCGGTTCCAGTTTCTGCATGCCATCTAAGTAATTACTGGTAGATTGATGCTTATTTGCACAGTGCAGTAGCCAGTACTAACTATTTAGAGCCATAATTGTGTATATGAGAACAATGGAGGAAGGCCTCTGGTTACCATGTCTTGTTCTACACTATCTCTGTGCGGAGGCGGCCATCTTGGTAGAGGCAGGGCTTTGCTTCCTCTTGTCATTGCCTCCAGCAAAACAATGAGCAGAACAGTAGTGAGCTCACCATATCTCACTCCAGTTCTGCTGATACCAGCCGTCATA